CCGTTGGATAGGCCAGAATGTCAGCTTTAAGATGAGACTAAACATGTAACTGCAGCACAACTCAAGTAGACACTATATTTAAAGAGCTCAGCAGCTAATTAGTTCCTATCTAATTACTTAATGAACTCCCCCACCCGCCCCCCTTTCATGAAATGCCGTGAAATCATAAATCAACGTAGAGAGATGGCAGTGGTACCGTTGGATAGGGCAGAATGTCAGCTTTAAAATGAGTATAAAAACCGAAAAAGTGGAAATTTTTAATTTTAGAGTAGACGCTCCCCTTAAATATTATAAAACTTACCCATTTTAGCAGGGAACAATGAAGGCCAGATGAAGTCGCTGTCAAAACGTACCCCGATCTTGTAAGGCCTTGCTTTAGTTGCCCCTGTTTGGAGTTTGGGAGCCGTAAATATACCTTTCACACAAAGTCCGAGGTAAGTTACCAAAAAATTGTCTATTTTTTATGTTCAGAATAATTTATTTTGCCCACTTATTTGAACGTGTCCGTTATCCTCATCAGTTGTCGCTTTTCATTTAATTTTCTCATGCTCATACAATTTTCTTGATAACCTCGAAACAACTTATGCTTCATAGTTGTGAGCAATTCTTTGTTTAGTGAAGTATATAAAAAGTAAATGAAATGTACAAAAGCTAGTTTGTGTTTTGTTCTAACAAACTTGCTTAAAGAATCAATGGTGCAACATAAGCAATGATAACAATTCCTGATAAAACTGCCGTTTCTTAGGAAAGACTTAAAATAATTCCAAGGCTTGCAACAGATAAAACATTAATTTACAGCAGTTAGAATGAATCAGAAATAATTTGAGTAAAATATAAATCGATTTTAGGATAAAATCTACCACACTGCATGTCGGTGGGATGTCGCTTGTTTAAGTAGGCCCATACTTGATCAGGAGTACCGTACACGGTATCTAGGCGGTCACTGTAAACACAGGAAAATGTGAGAGAATGAATGATCAAGAAACATCCCTTATAAAAGAATTGGAAGAATAAGGTATAGTAATGTATGGAGATTTCAAAGCTTTAATGAAATTTAAATTTTCATTTCACGTCTAGACTTATGAGCTTGAAACACGAAAATTTAACTTGTATTGGAGCTACGAACGTTAATTGCGTTCCGACCACCAACGTGGGAAAGCTTCTATTGGCACACGTGACTACCGCAGACATAACATGAGTTTCCACAAAACTTTATGTTCATTTTAAAGGTCCATCCAAGTTACGATGGGAGCCATGCAAGGCGACTGGCGAGATAACGTCAGCGGTGACTCAAGACAAGAATATAGAAGAAACAACTATTGCACTATTTAGTAAACTTGAAAAATATCACTACATGCGCATACGTTATAATAAACGTGAAGACATATATGAAGAACGTCAATTAGAATACGCATGGGGCATGGGCACGGATAAAATTTCTTCCCATTGTTCATTTACTTTGTACTTATCCTTATACCGTGAGATATTTTATTCCATTTATGGGCGATGAGCTTTTAAGATGCTCTAAATTTTATATTCACTTCATTAGGTGATTATAAATCAATTGGTTCCGACTATGGATGCATATGCATTTGAAAGTTACATTTTCAAGTGTAACAGGTTATCGTTATATTCGATTACATTATCAATGTAATATAAGAAAAAAAGTGATAACTTGATAACTTGCCTCCTTGCAACGACCTCCCATAATGACTGAAAGTTTTTAAGTAGTTGGCTTTCAATCCTTTTTTTCACCTGTTCATATTGCGATTATTTTTGCGAATTGTCAAACTATTGACCAATGTACCTGAATTTTTTGATGATGGCTCCCATGCCTCCATCCGACTGTCCTGCCGGCCTCCAGAAGGAGTCCAGGGGCAGCAGGCTGATGTTGCCGGTGTGTAGGGCGGCGAGGCAGGACAGCAGCTCCTCCAGCCCCGGGATGGGGCGGGTGTGGGTGGACAGCACCACGAGGCGACTGGGCTTGATGTTGTTGGCCAGGCTGGCGACAGCTCGCTCTCCTTCAGCACGGCTGGTGACTGTCCAAGGCACACCGTCCTCATATGTTGCAAGCTCATATGTCTGGAAACTCAACCGGAATTTTTAACACTAATTTATTTAGACGAAGATTAATTTCATTTAAAATAATTGTTGCTCAGTATCATGAATAGACTTATGAAAGTAGAAAAGCTGAATTAATAAAAAAAGCGTTTATTAGTCAGATGAACATCATCATTTACCCGCTTCAAAGGAAGGTTTATAAACTTTTTTTTCGCACTGCCTGTTTTACAAACAAAAATTAAGGGTTGCGCATCAATGATTTTAGGTGGCGATAGTAGATTATAGGTGCCGTAACGGAGGGTGGCTAGATCCGCCGAAAATTGACAATAAAACACCAATAAATCGAGAGGGCGAGTATAGGTGTCAGTGCGAGTATAGGTGTCGATGAATAGTCGAAGATTTCTAGGGTCTGAATGATCGATGGCGCAATTCAGGCGAATCTCCTGTAAGCCACCGGTAACCGTTTGCCCAAACTACACAGTGCATGAAAGTATTTGCCACAGTAATTTATCCGAAGTAGAAAGGTGTTATTGGGTTGTGGGTCATTTGAGATCGATACAAAACCATGACTTCGTTCTGTGTGCTTGGCTTTTAAGATTAGGTTCACTTGAGAAAATTTAGCAAAAATTTAGCATGAAAGCAAGGTGTTCACAAATTGCGACAGCAGCAAGGTGTTCACAAATTTTTCAAGCCAAAGTAAAGCCACTGCGGGGATGAATCAGACTGCTCCTGATATAAATTTTCCGAGGAACAATAGAAAATTCTATCGCAAAAATACAGTTTTCATATAAGACGGCGAATCCGTTTTTTTTTTGTTTATTTGAGATATTGCGTAAATTATTGCAAATTTTGCGTATGCGCCAACTGGCTGTGTTGGAAATACTGCAATCAATTGAGACTAATTATTGCATCATTAAGTATGGATCATTAAGTGGATTGATTTAGTTTTTTCCATAATATTTACAATATACATAAGTTGCCCCAATTACCTGGGGCCGGATTTTCAAAACTTTGTAACTTTTTGTATTTACGACAAAAAATTACGTGTTACGTAAGTACACCATAATTTTGGCATTTTCAAAACATTCGTACGCAAGCCTTAGCTACAAGCGTATTATCAAAACCATCTGGCTAACTGACCAATCAGAGGCTTTGGATTTACTGTTCCTATAGCTCCAGTAAGCTCCTATCGACCAGTGCGCAGTTCGCTTGGACGAAAGTAGGATGTGTGGTGTCAGCGGCATTTGCGGTGCCTGACTAGGATGAATTTGGATAAATGGGTGAGACGTTATCACCATTCACCGTGTTTCTACTCGCTAGTAAATCAATAGTTTCCTATTGCTTCAGCAGACACTCTAAACTTGTGCGGAACTCCACTTACGACATCTCAGAGCAGGTGTACAGTTACGTTACGTAGCTTCCCGCCAAATGTTTTGATAATACCACCGCTAGAGTTACGTCAGCATGTCAGCACTTACGCAACACGTAAGTCGTTTTTGCGTACCTACGAAGTTTTGATAATACGGCCCCAGAACTCTAAAGCCACATTGACGTAGTCAACAGCGGCTCGGCATCTTAAGTACAAAGCACAGCGAGCAAGTCAGTCAAGTATGCACGCGTTCATACCTGTTGGGTTGACGCGCCTCATCGTTGAGCTTCCTATTAATCTTTGCCATGCATGTAATGCTTGAGATATGTGCTTTCCGGGTAATTTGCTTGTCAAAAAACTATCATATTTAAGCAGAGGGATACGAGTAAAAATTCGGTTTTCTATCGCTGACTCCGATAGTGAAATTTAATTATTTAGGTGAAATTTGCTGATACAGTCTGGCAATTATTTTGATTTTAAAGTGGTACCGGCATCTTTCCTACACAAAAAAGTGACTCAAAGTGTTGCAGGTATTTCACACCTGACATTTCAAAATCATCGAGTGATATCAATTTCTCATTTCAGGCATGAACATTCTTGGTGAAAATATTTCGAATCAAACCGCTATCAAAATTGGTGTAATGTTCGCATTGATAAACTTCGATACTTTTTAAGCATTTTCCCGTAGCCTTTACTCTAGCCTGAACCATCGTTCGTTATGGATAAACGAAGTTTCTTTCAGCGGCTGTTTACTCGCATAAAGCAGCAAGTTGAAATAAAATTGCTGATAGAATCATCTAACTATCACGGCGGTAGAACTAACTAACCTCTGCCATTTTGCTTAAAATAAATCTTTTAAAATGAAACTAGTGCCAAGCCCTCTCCGACGGCTCAGCGGTAGGGGCTTGGCTGTGTGGAAGATCGTATTTTGGACCCTGCAGGCAGGGACTTTCTTCAAGTCAATTTCTCGCGAGGTATATGTATGTCACTTTGATGATTTGTTCCTGCTACATGTCTGAAATTGTTAATTTTACTGCCATGGTCGAATTGCATACGTAGCCCTTAGAATGGTGATTGTATGGAGCATTATCAGTATAAATGCAATAGCATCGAATTTGAAACTAAAGAATAAATTTTTATCGACTTCGTTGTAAAGGTGGCCATCGGTGGCTTATCGATACGCCACCGCTGCCAATGGGTAGTTTATTGGCGAAAGAAGAGCTTTAATGGTAGGGAGGCCATCGGCGGGTTATAGATGTGGGATAGGTGGTGCACGCCAACCATAATTCACTGTATGAATCATGGTTGCTCCATCTATGGCGCCCGGTGATAGCCATCATAAAAACATAGGTGCTCCACTCTTAATTTTTATTTGGGCATAGCCTTCAGACTTCTAAAGTTTCTCAATTTAAATAGAGTAACAGTTCATGCTTCCTCGCGAATGTTAAATAATCTCAATATGCATTCTCTCCTGAATTTTGCTTATATTCCCTCTCTCTCGAAAATCATTAGATCTATCCATCTTCCTATTAGAAATTAAAACGAAATTATATTGCATCAATCAACTGAATATACGTCTTTTTGGATCAAGCAAACATAAAATTATTTTTAGAATTAAGCCCGCAGGAAGGAAAAAATTCGAATCGATCGTTGAAGACAATATTATATTAGTGTTGAGACTCATAGCGATGGAATTTTTATTGCTATTTATGGCCTTCCTGAACTATTTAATTTCACAAGTTATTCGCTGAGTAGCATACGTAAACTCAGCATAAACTCTGAATATGAATGGGTTTTTGTAGCTCGTCTTCAGGGTTGTTGCTGGGCAAAATTGGGTTAGGAAGTAATAATTTCAACGTTATTTGCACATGGACCCTCATTCTCTGAGCGATGACTCACCGGCCCAGGAGCCTGGAATGTTCGAGGAGTCGCTCCCGTAGTTGCGCCCTGCGGTGGCGTCGCCTGAAGGTCGTTTTGATCTTGCAGCTGTGCGCTAGCGCCGGCGCACTGCCGCGCCGTCGCCGTAACAGCAGGCCCTTGAATCTAAAATTTAGAATCTAGTAACTCCTCAGCAACATGAGATACATTTATTATAAAAATGACCAAATAAACGTGTGCACCACATTAATAATACTTGAAGTCTCCACTTATACGGCATTCATATTTTGATTACGATGTAAGTTTGATATTTTTTTGGCAATACATTTTAACTTAGCCCTAAGAGTTTCAAACCTGCTGTTATGAGACAAGCATGACCGATCCTGCTCTAAACCTGCTATAACCTGTTTAGTTACTGAAATCAGCGCAGACTCCTGCTCTGTATTCTAACTACATATTCGCCTCATGTATGTCATTCCACTCGCCTGTAATGAATCACATTTCTTCAAAGCTGCTGACAACCTCGCTTTGATCTCTGGTATCTCCATATTTTCTGGAGGTTTCAATTTTAGACGACTAAGCATTTCTTTGCATTCATGTCGCTTGTTCTCAACCACACCGCTGGCCGGGGTATCCCAAGCCTTGAGGTCTTGCTCTGTCGACACTTTTTGGGCCAGCAGCGAGTCCCTCCATCCTAGAAATTTAGTCTTCATGTTGATCATCAAATCAACCTGACCATCAATCAAACTCAATATACCGTCTGATACGGAGACTAAATTATTCACGCGCCCGAGTTTGTCGTGCATTGTTGTCCGTATTTTCGTCCACGAGTTCAAAACAGATTCATCCTCCTGAAGTAGGTCGTCTAATAACTCAATTTCGTGATTTTTATGCTTGCCCCTGATGCACGTGAAGCACACGAGTTCCATCCCAGATAAAAATTGCTGGCCCCGTCCGGCAGTGAATAGAAGCAGTCACTGCCGCAATACTGCCATTCTCTGCCGTCATCACGCTACAAGCGCCTTCTGGGTGCCACAGTACCGCCGTGTGGCCGCTGCCGACAAATGCAGCTCGGCCCTCACTATTTCACTGCAGAACTGCTGGCAGCTCCGAACACGCCGAACAATTGCACTGAACAGCGCCTTCTCGCTGCCTCAACGCAGGCAGTGTGGAGGCATCGCAACAACGCCATGAGTTCGGCATGCGGCCTACCGCAGTTAAATCGAACAAGGATGGCGCTGTGAATTTATAAATTTGTAGCTCGCAGGAGCGCGTTAATGAATAGCTTTATTTTCTAAATCGTTCAAGATTGGTATCGATTTAATAAAGTTTCGTACAATGAAAAATCATCCCAAAAATTAACCCCTAATATTATAGTCTAAGAAGTGTCCAATTCATCCCATACGGCCGCGTTCATTAGACCAAAATCGTTTCGATTTGTTTGTTCAACACTCGTATAAAGTTGTAAAATATAGACTTTGTTGTATCACAACTCTACGGGGCGCGCGCGGCACTTGGTGTTCGGTTGCTAACAACCGACGCTACTGATCAATGTTTCCAGGCGAGAAGTCACCAGTAACGAGACTTGGCGCCATATAAGTGCTGAGATATACATAAGATGACCATATAAATGTGATATGACCATATACATGATATGACCATATATTATCACCACCATATGATATGAAAGTCATGATTTGAACTTCAAAGGCATGTACATATGGCCATTTTCGGCTTAAACAGGCAGGCGATTGAGTGCTCGAAAACAAAATCAATTGGCATGAGAATGTCGCTCCATTTTTTACAACCCTATTTTTAACTTCACTTCTTCTTGTTTGTTTGTCTGCCATAAATTTTTTAATTGATATTTAACAAACTTCTAAATGTCCAATCGCTTCGAAATTTCGCAACTTGCGTAAAATCGGAGACAATGCATGAATTAATTGGCAGAATAAATAATTTCGAAACTAGAAAAAATATATATTAAAAGAAGTAAAAACAAATTTTTTTAATATTTAAAAATTAGATTAGAAATTCGTTGTACATGTGTAACATCGGATACACTGGCCTCTTTAGGAGTGTCGTCTTTAAAAACTAATTTTTTAAAGAATGTTTAAAAAGTAATTCTTAAATGCATATCATTATTAATGTAATCTTGACTCCGACAGAAAAGTTTCCACAAAAAAAATATAGTGTTCTTAATTAATGTGCATGGAGCGGCATAAAGAAACCGTTCAAATTGGTATTAATTTTAAAACATAATTATAATATTTCATTACATATTAAATGATTAACGAAAAGTTACCACAAAAACTAAGCAGGACTGTTCACCTATAGTTTTAATACAGAAGGTCTGACCGCGCGTCTCCGTAAGTCCCAATATTGACTCCAACTGGAGTCAATATTAACATATTTAGGACTGGAGTCCTAAATATTAACTCCAACACAAAAGTTTCCACAAAAAATTTAGTGTTTTCAATCAATAAAAAAAATAAATCAATCAATCAATCAAAAATAAATCAATCATATAAAAATCAATCCACATAAAGAAACCATTTATATTAAGATAATTTTTTAATGATTATTAAAAGATTTAATTAAATATTAAATGATAAAAGAAAAATTACCGCAAAAACCATGCTCTGGCTTCTTTTCTGCTGAAGCTGGAGATCTCTTGCAAAAGAGCATGTCGAACCTTCTTAATGAGTGACTGCCCTTTGATTAAATCTAACGGTAATCCGGCTAATCATTATTAACCTCATTAGAAAAAAATTAGTTCATGCGATCATTGTTGATTCTATCAAAGAACATTTTAGTTGTAGCAAAATGTTAGAAAATTAAGTTTGAGCTCAACATTATTTATTTAAATTGATACGACAAAAATCACGTATCCTGATCAGTAGTTAGTATTCAATATCTGAAGCAAGTTCAAGATGCTGATAGGATCAGAATTTTGGTCATTATTCACGATGCGACGACGTAATTAGAACGGAGACACGCGACGTACAATGTAATAATTGCAATATTTTAGTATAAGTAGAACTGCAGCCCTGTGGTGCATGCTCACTGCAAGTAATATGTTTAACAGGTGTTTGTTTGGCGTTCGTAAGATTGTTTATTGTAAAAGAACGTGGGTGTGTTAGTTGATTCACTTATTACCGGAATGATGTAATACATGCATTAAATTAATTCGCTAATACTCGTCAACACACCCATGATTTATGCAATTGAACATTCAACGAACGCCTAACTTACGCTTGAATGACATATTACGATCTGTGGGCAGGCGCCGCAGGGCTGCTTTTTTTTAAAATAAATACAAGAATCGGCCGTATTAAGGCCGCTGCCTACACGGCCCTGATACGGCGCCCGCATGCAGTCAAGCATCACGGAGTGCGCCGCGTGGCGAGCGAACTGGCGCCGCTCGCTGCCGCTGCTGTCGAGTCATCGCCAGGCCGAGGCAGCGATCCACTGCCAGCGAGTGGCCCCTAATATGGCCCCAAAATGGTCCTTCCATCAGCGCCGAGCCGCTAATGCGGCACCCACACGACTGCCGATTGGCATGAGGCCGTAGCTGATGTTGGCACTAATTTTTATTTGGGATATGCAGTCCACGCACAGGTAATCCAGCGCCTTCCCTTGATGGAGGCACGGTGCCTCTGACAGCGAGCTCGGGGCATGTGGGCGAGCCGTGTTTTCTGAAGGAATCAGTGCGTAGTTGACCATCATTTCATCAATTCTTTGGGAAAATTGTTTCCTACATTTTGGGCAATTTCGGGCGCCAGAGAGTCTTAGTAAATTTGTGATGCAAGAGAAGCAAAAAGTGTGGCCGCAGGTCAGGCCAAGCGGCTTGTGGTTGCCCGAATCGAATTTCTCGTTGCAAACGTCGCACTCTATCGTCACACTTGCCATCTTGTGAAAGGTTTAAAGTCTTCAAGTAACTATCATTGAGCTATGTCCATTAAAATTATAGGTAAACTTCACACAAACCTTCAGAGAGATAGTTAGTGATCCAGCATCTGTTGGTCTAATACGCTTGATTGGTCGACATCACTTCTTTCCTCCAAGACAAGGCAACTCGTTTCACTCGAATTAACCTAGAGTTATGATGCTACTGCGCAAATAAAGTCTATTGTGGCCTTTCATAATCCTAAACCAGGTGAGAGACGAAGACGCTCAAATAAACTCGAACATTGTTATAAATTTGCACGTCATCAATGAAACGTGGTGCTTCATATGGATGTAAATCTCGTATAAACTACTGAAACTTGTACTGTCTACAAGCCTAATTTCCTGTACTCCGTTCAGCTACAACACAAATTTTTCATTGCATAAAATTTAGACTGGAATTAAAATTTTAAGAACAATCATTGATAACGAGTGACAAAATGGTTGTATGGGGAGCTGAATAACCTATTCTAGACATCATCATTCATGCATCTTCCCACTAATTCATATTTTCAATTACAGGGTCATCAATATTTAGCGTTACAACTTTGAGTGGGTAGAACTATGAAATGAAACACAATTGTGAATGTTTGAAAATGTATTTATGTAGGCAGAGGATCAGAGATACAATTGCCACAATTTCATTCAATATGTCCAACATTGCATCAATAACGAGTTGTAGACGCTTAGAGAAAGCCTTACACGAGTCACGAATGACACTCTGTGGTATTTTGGCCCACTCCTTCAGCAGTTTGACCTTTAGGGCGTCCAAACTGCGATGGTGAACGGTCGAGACCTTGCTCTCAAGGTATGACCAGATCCCAAAATCCAGAGGATTCAGATCGGGTGACGATGGGGGCCATTCATCTTTGGTAATGAAGTGGGGAACATTGTCGGACAGCCACTCCTGAATCGATTTAGCCCCATGGGATGGTGCAGAGTCCTGCTGGAACGACCAGGGACGTTTTTTGAAGTGCTTTCGTGCCCAGGGCAACAATGCACCAACAAGGATGGCATCTCGATATTTCTTCTGATTCTATTTCACCCCTTTGTCAACAAAAAAGAGGGGACTCCTTGAGGACTCTGTAACGGCTGCCCAGACCATCCATCACTGAGGTCGGGCATTGCTTCGTAGTCACCACACGGCATCCTTCGTCCCATTCTTAGACCAAATTCGATAATTTTGGGAGTTGAAGTGGTGTTCAACATTGAATATTTTCTCATCACTGAAAACGAGTTTGGCAGCGTGCCATCATGAATGCAGGAAAGAAGAATCTTGAATCTTTGGAGGCTTTTGTTAACAACTTGAGCAGACAGTTGGTGTTTTTTTGACACCATAAAGATGATGAATGCTGAATAATGATAAAGATTAATGAAAAGGTGTAAACAAATGACAAATATCGAGGACAATTATCAACAATTGATTTTGAAAAAATGTAACGCTATATATTGATGACCCTGTAGTTAAGGAAGAGAGGTTTCCCCCCAGAGTTCCAGTATTCGTATAGACAGGAAATAAATATTTTAGTCATGAAAGTCACTGAAGTCGCATATTCACGCTGGTGCTACGAGTGCCGATTCTTCTCCGCGCACTTCTTTGAAAAATTACATGAAGAATTTCGTGTTTGAATTTTTAATTCCAAAATCCAGTGGAGTTATAAACAATGTGAAAAATATCATCATAAACAATTAACATTGCTGTTATTAGTGGAATTTTTTTGGGGATTTAAACATGAATAAATTTATTTGCCATCCTTCATATCAAGATTGAATTTACTGCCTTGCGTCTGACATGCAAGTATCTGATGTTACTTGTGAGGTGACGTTATCTTGAGGACCTCATCGGGAACACTCAGAGAAATCGACAGACTTTGTCCAAATAATGATGCACTTCTTGCTCTTGTGTGGGCCTTCTTGACTCAGTTTTCCCGGCTAAAAGGAGGTATCAGTGCTACCTACATAAAGTGTCGCCTTTTGGACA